CCTAATTAAGAATTTAAATAAATTAATCGCAACCCAGTATATAAAACTGTGACTTTTAATAGGAAGGACCTGTAAAGCGTGCTCATCCGTCAAACAAAAACGAAACTTGATGTGTGTAAAAAATATCAAAGTATGATATGCATATCTTTGAGTGTCATCTTGACTCGAATTTAGTACAACGTTGACTCCTTGCTTAGTCCTTAGTTTTTATAGTCAAAAAGGTAAAAATAAAACGAGCGGGCAAAGGACAAAAGTTTGCAATGAAAACTGAATCCGTAACACGCGACCGAATTGTGCACTGTATACAGGCCTTCAGATTTGAGACCATTGTAATAAACTGCGGTATTGAAGGTGCTACTACCAAATACGGTAACGTTTTATTACTGACGCCACTTAACTCGTTATTACAATTAAATGATGTTCGAGTAATGTTTATTAAAATGTTAATATTTTGTTTATAAAATTTACTTTTTGGCCATACAAAGGAAGAATTATGTAATGAAAAATGGCGTAAATTCGCATTGCATTGATGTAATAATGAACTAGCTGTTACCCGAGACTACTTCCGCCCGGGATTAAAAAAAATCTAATAATTAGCCTATATGATCTTCCAGACTATATTGTATATCTGTGCCAAATTTTATCAATACTTTTAAACAAACATCCATCCATCCGTCCGTCAAAACTTTCGCATTTATTATATAAATAAGATTTATCTACTTCATGGCTTATTTTAGTACAAATTGAGTATAAACTTCACTAAATTAAAAAACTAATAAAAAAATTATCAAACAAGCAAAGAAATCCAGTGTACGAGGGAATATTTTAAATGTTTTTTTTTAGTTCTCTCTCGTTTAATTATCCGCTTCCTATCGTCTTCCTCGAAATGATCCGACGCAGGAGCCATCTTTCGAGCACTAATAACTATAGTCCGGGGCACGGCAATCGAGCGGACAAAGGCCATTGTTACGACGCCGGCTGACCGTAACGAAAAAAAGTAAAACATGCCTTTCCCAATAATTTTCACTTCTCACCATACTTTACAAACCATTGAACTACATTTAGGGGTGATTTTAGCTTACTTTTTAATACTAGACGTTTTATAATAAACACACAGATAGACAATAGTCTGAAATATTGCATAATTTTCATCCTGACAAAATGATAACGCGTCCCGTGGAATAGACTTTCTATTATAAAAAAAGATTTTAGCCATATTTGCAAGAAGACCAAATTTAGTTTTTATTATTTATATGTTAAACACTACAATATACAATTGTAGTCAACTTTCCAAAGCGACGTTACATTGTGACGTACCGTCTCAGACTTTATTACGACAATAAAATGCGTAAATGATTTCATAAATATTCATAAGGTCTGTATGTTGTTTTTACGTCATCGTAAAAATATTGCCAGAGATAACTATTTTTCTGCTACTATGTTTACAAATACGAGCTATCCGTGTTAATTAGATGGTAATTAATTCCATTTCAACATATGTTAATAAGAACCTTTATAAAAGAAATATATTAAAAGTCATCTGGTACTGATGCTAAATATACTGTCTTATCCTTTCTATAAACTTACGAGTATCGAAGCACGATTAAAATAATCATACCCGATACAGACTTTCACTTTAACTGGCTTTACTGAACAGACCAACAGTAAAGACTACGAACTATAATAAGAAAACAAAAGCAATACATCTCGATAATTTTAAAAGTTTTTTGTACCTAACTAATTTTAGACATTATTAATTAGAATCCTTTGGCGCGAATGGTGCGTTTTCATTACAAAGTCCAGTGTCAGAAACATCAGTGAGGGGACATAAACGTCGACATTTTAGTAAGGCTAGTTATGTGCTAGTACACCGGCACAGTGTCGGATTTTCTTCCTAACACTAGTTAAATTTAACAAAATTTACACAATAGCTTTTATTGGAGTTTACAAAAATCATGCACGCAATTTTATAACTTTTATACATCTGCGCGAGTAAATGTTGATTTTTCTTTAAATAGGTCACATTTCCCGCTTTAGAAATAAAGTAAACACACGTCTCCTTGCATCAGTTTTAGATTTCCAGAACCGATATAAAAAAATTGGCTGAATTTAAGAGATTCTTTCTAGTAAATCGATTTAAATTCTACTCTATGCAGTAATCAAGCATACACATGCGTGGGTATGTTCTTGAAGTCTGCAACTATAAAACTAATTTTAAAATTATGCGTAAAGTACATCTTTCAAAATTACCCGATCATTTTGACCGAAATAGCAATCTTACGTTGTTTTACTTCATGTTGTTTAGATAGCAATCGAATATTTTGTACTCAGTTTTATACAAAGTGACTAAACTAATTATCGAATAGATCATAAGAATCGAATTTGTTGATGATGGCCACCGGATTTATCTGAAGAGGTATGTCCTGACAGGAACAGCGTGTTTATGAGAACCGTAACAATGGATCAGTGTTTAAATGAACAATGGTATAAGATCTTTTGTATTGATCATGGATCCACATCGGCTCATCGATTCTTGGAAGTGTACATTTTGCCTACACACCACAGACATAATAATTGATTTCCGACAATAATCGTTCTATAAATAAAAAATAACTGTGGGTTTCTGAAACAATAAATCCGTTTAAAACATATTGTTATCTCTGTTTTGTCAAAGATAATGACGGGGATGACGAAATGTTTTATACAGTGATTTTGGTTTCAGAAACCCACGGTAACAGTATTAGCTATTTAAATTGCAGATCGGCATTTATTATTTAAAAATAATAGATTCCAATACGGTGCCATACAAACTTTATGCAGGATCGTAAATTCTCTGTGCGCAATGCAATTTTAAGTTTTACCGAGACATAAAGTGCTTCGGTTGCTTTTCTCCACCTGGCCAACATAATAGGCATAGTCTCACAACTAAGCACAAGCCGAGAACGTATTTTTTTTTATACATTTACTATAAAATGGCAAGCATGCAAGCAGCCACCTGAATTCGCCGAATAGCGAAACGATCGCTGCCCATAGACATCTGCAATTGCAGATGCGTTGCCTACCTTTAATCAACGGAGGGAGGGACGTGAGTCCCTCCCTCCGAAAGAGGATTTTTTCCCTTCATATGTATCCTCTCCTCTGCCTGCAACTGTACTAGTAGCTAGTAGTTCTCTCTTGAAGTTTTTGTTAATTATAAAGGCTTAATCCATTTCTTACACGACTTAATACCCTCTTACTAAGATCATATCAACAATGACGTCAATCATATTAAAATATTAATCCCTGTACTGAGTCTACATATTTCTTCATACTTTTTAATATAGCAATCATCTAATATTTCGTAACAGGAAGGCGATTTAAATCATTAAAATGTAACGTCGTTAAATTAGCAACTAATCACAATGAATTGTAATGATATATTTTTACATGATAAATATATAGCAGTGATATAGCTAGACTAGCTGTCGACCGCGACTCCGTCCGCGCTGTGTTATGAGAAAACATAATTAGTAGCCTATGTGTTCTTTCACCGAATCCGTTCAGCCATTCTATATACCTTCAAACAAACATCGATCCATCCATCCAAACATTCGCATTTATAACATATATAAAAGTTTTCTATGCATACAACTCAAACACAAATGTTATCCTTTGTTCACTATATATAGACAGAGTTATTTAAAATAAGAATTCTTTAAGATTAGATGATAAAGTGTTTGGACTGGATTTTTTCCAATAAATAGATTGACAAAAAATTTACTGGTTCTTTTAAAACTTTCAAAGATCAATTGAAGGTCAAGCAATCTTATTTTACATGAATAGCTATTATGAATTTAGAAAGGGTTTTATAAAATACATTATTGAGGAAAACAACAGCAGTCTGAACAGCAAACCTAAATTACTTTTTAATCCACAGTAAAAAGGTATAACACTATTTTATATTAAACTTATATTGCGGGTAGACATAACTATGCAAGTACTAGTATTAGCCCTAACAAGAATTTACAAGTTCTGTTTCTATAGGTTTGATGTCTATGGATATTTTTATAATAAAGTGGCTATCCATGTGGCAGCACATACAAAAAGTGGATAGACAGATTCCGGATAGAATGCTCGACCTGGCCATTTACATAATACTTGCTCAATGTTAATATGCAATGAGTATGGACCTTAAAAGTGTATTAAAGTAATTTTTTACAAATATCTTTTTTTTTGTCAATTACTTTACAATGCCTATTAATGCTATATGCCTTGGGTCGAAAGAGATATAAATTGTAGAAACTTTAAGTTAGAATCTAAATATAAAATATTTTTGGAACATTTTATGGCCTGGTTACTGGATGTTTATGTCAGGTCTTATTTTCCTATGATACTATATAAATTACTTTCACCATAGATTCAAATACAGCATAAGGTTTCTTTGGCCAAAGAATTGCAACTCGACAACATTATAAAACAATTTCAGAAATACAGTTGATTTTTGTGTGAGTGAATGTGATTCAACAATGAATAAAAAAGTATTTTATTCAGTTTTAAAATTATTTCTTAGTTATCCTTTCTTAACATTTTTACAGTAACACAAATTTACATCGATTGATCTATGTGGCTGAAATATTTTAAATGATTTTTTGTCACAAAGTCGAATTTTTTCTAAAAGAATAAAATACCTTGTTTTCCTTGTTAAAATATTTTAAGTACCTTCTTATTTCACATGTTTCTGAGGGCGACACTGACCTGTTACATTTTTGAACTCATAAAAATGTACATATGAATATGAAAATAGATATGTGAGAAATTGTTTATAACAACAATTTACTGACTGAAACAAAGTAAAAGCAATAAAGATCATGGTATCAAAATCTACGTAAATTGTAAACAACGCATTCTATCCCCAATTAGGCAGCAGCAAACGAGAGAAAGGAAAGGTGTTAGAACCTAAAAAAAATGACCTTTTCGTAGATAGAAGTTTAGCAAGTTCGCTAGTGATGCGTTTAATTTACCTTGTCTCCAGGGATATTTTTCGCCGACATGGTGCGTCGTCTTATCGAACTAAGATCCCACGTCGCTGTACAGACGATTTATCCAGAGAAAGGATCTCACTGTTGCTGCGACAGCCCAGCATACGACACAAAACACTGCACTAACCAATCACTCGGCCATTATCACTGATCGAGCGGTGCTTTAAAGCCACAAACACAATAATCGAGCCATAGCTTGGCGTCGTAATCAACACGATTTCCCATTGATATTCATCGGTACAAATAATTTTTCACAACACTGCACACAAACACGACGACTGACAGGAGCTAACTTGATGGAGTTGAGCTTGACGGAAAATGGCGAGGTTGGTAGATAAAATACCCCCGTCTCACGTCCCGCCCGCGCATATCGCAGTAAATGCAATTTAACAAAATATCTAGATTTTCGAATAGATGGCACTACACAAGTATTTAAAAACTATGTAAAAGCGATCGTCGTTAAAATTTAAGTAATATCCAATAGATGGCACTATAGCAGTAAAATAGTCTCAAAAATCGTTGGAGTACGAATCCCTGTATTACCATTGTAACTGTATAATTGTGTATAATACCGATAGAGAAATGTATCGACTATTATAACATCATATGCCGAGATTTTGTCAAATCAAAAATTGTCATTAAAAAAATCAATTGCATTGCTTTTTGCTGTTGCACAGACGATTTGCAAACGTTTAATTAATACATGTGTATTGTATTGGGATTTCTGAGATCATTTCTTATGTTTTTGCGAGATTTGTATCATAACATAATGTTAAAAAAAACTGAGATCTCATCATGTTTTTATGTTAATTTTAAGGTTTTAAGCTACGGTTTCAGGATTAAAAGTCATATGTGTATACACTGTGAAAATATTTATTAAAACTGGTCACACTGGCAAAAGCAAATTCAAGATTACGTACGGCGCCACTTTTTCTGTCTGCTATTCGCAAAATGGCGGACGGAGGCGTGGATATAGATTTATACGCTGACGATATTGAATCAGATTTCAATAGACAGGTAAAATATTATTAATTTTGCTTATTTTCTATTCTATTACTTATTTACACAAGTGACAATATGCTACCTCGAGATTATACCACGTAATAATACAAAAAATTGCCGGCTATTTACAGGATGAATTTGGTGGTGACAACGTAGATTTGTACGACGATGTGCTTGCTGCTCCGCCGTCGAAGCCCGAGGACGTTGACGGCCCTCGGAACCCATCATCTCAGCAGCATTCGCATCCTCCGGAAGAAACGAATGGCAACGCTCCCTATCACAACAGCGCTCCAAACCACCATCATGGCCGCCGATTCCAACTTTATGTTGGAAACCTCACATGGGTTTGTACAAGATTTTGATTTATTTAGCGTCCTTTTGTAAATATAGGTTTCAACTTTAATTTTCGGTATTTGTTCTACGAAACGAACAAATAGCGATGGTATAAGAGCTGCCATTTTGAAATTTATCAATAAATCTTATGGAGTTGTAAATAAAAATAAAATAATTATCTTATTCATTTATGATAAATCACAAAAATGTTACCCAAAATAATTCAAGCATTTTGTGTGTTAAATTGAATGATATAAATACACGGAATTAATGCTCAATAGATGACTTTTGCTCGGTTTACATTATTCAAATTTTATTTTTACTTGAATCATGTAAAACAGACATGAAATGTTTAAAATACGCAGTAATTTAAAAATTATAATTTAAAATGAGATGCATAAACAAAATAGGTTCCAAACATTGCCTTATAACATTTTTATTATGAAATTTAATTTACATTGAAGATAATAGATTCATTTTTGTATTAAAGTTTCAGAATTGTAGCTCCTATTAATAACCATATGAAAACTTTACGACTTCCATTTTATTTATGAAACAGTTCAGTAGAAAAGTTTGAAATGAAAGTGCCCTATAACACTCTTGATAAATGTGATAGATTTAACGCAAAATGTTTTGGCTACAAGTAGAGTAGTGATTAAGACTATACATCATAAGTAAATGTAATATTTGTCAGATTGTAATTAATGCTCATAACGGTAAAGAAGCTGAAAATAGTAATATCTTTGTTTATTTGTGTAAACAAAATTGCATATTGTGAACTAATGAGTTAGTTATTTTTAGAGGTTCACTGCTGAATGTAGGTTTTTAATGGCAATTTTGCAAAACATGTTGAACCATGCATATAGCTACATCTCTTTTGGATTCTCTGAAGAGATGTAACCCTGAATGTATGGGTCGATGTTCTTGTTGCATTTCCAAATTAGGACCAATATAATTTTTCATTTATTTGTCAACAAAAAATTAAGAATGCAAATAAATATCATCTTAGTATCTAGGATAGCTTTTCATCCAAATATGTGTAGATAAATGTAAGATATTTGCTTGCCTGTTATCTGTCTAAATAATCTGGAAGTTGTATTTCTATGTTTTTTATATAATTGATGTATGACAACTTATCAATTTATGAAAATGTTTAAATATTTAGTATTTACATATAAAATATTTTTCCATATGGTTATGATTATTAATTTTATAATGGTAGATGTGATAAACATTGCCATTATGACAATAAAATCAGTTGTTTTGCTATAAATTTATTATGATATATGCCATGCCGTAAATATAAATTTCAATATAGCAAATATTCTTTCTCGAAATACCATGAAAATAATACTCGAACTTAAGCAATGAGAATGCATTTCATTTGCTTAGGATAATAAAGTATTATATTTGCTTAAAAACTATTAACCTATAATAATGTTTCAAATTACAATGTTATTAAACTTCTCGAGTTACTTGTACATAAATTTTCTTTGTAAAAAAAGTTTAAATATATAGTTAAGATTTTACAGAAGTGTATAAAAATATAATCAAGCTTTGTATATGTACAAAATTATATTTCTCATAATTAAATTATTTTATTAATAAGATTTTGTAAATTATATTCATCGAAAGATGTTTTTGTGATCTTTCTATATTAATAACTAATTTATGATTTAGATGTAAAGTTTTAAAAGGGGTTGTAATTTTTTTTATTAAAATGTTAGTGAAATGTAAAAAAATTATTACATTATATGCAAATGTAAGAAATGCTAAGTATTATTTTCATGGTGCCTAGACTTTTGCTATATTGGTAATGTGAAACAAGAACAAAATATTGTTCATTAAAAAGAAATCTTCCTGTGGGTTTCCACTGTTTGGACATATGTACAAAAACTATAGTCCCATCTGATGAAAAAAGTTACATTTCTTATATCTTTGAAGAGATATAACTGTTCATTGAATGGGTCAATATCATCACTTCATCATTCTCTTTGAGAAACTGAGATCATATGCTTTTGTACAGGTGTTTAGGCAATAGAAAACCATGGATATGTTGATATGTATTTATTTCCTTGTTGATTAGCAGCATAACTTTATATAATGTAAAATTTAAATCTTGTTTTTGTTTCAATTTGATAGTTTATTTTTTATGCTTAAAGCATTCACAGCAAAATTGTTGTCAATTTTGTGGTTTTGTTTAAACTAAAAATTAGAAATAGTTTAAAATCACATTCATTATATAACATTAAAGTATTTATTGCTTTTGATAATTTACAATGGTTAACATTTGCGGTTATTCAAGGCGACTTATTTTAAAAACAAAATATTTGCAAAATGCTTGTACCACTTTTATTACAAACAATTATTCTAAGATCATAAAAATCACTATTCTAGTGTTAATTTTTAAATCTAATTATGATTAAATACATTTTTCCTTAAATTATTGATACTATTTGCGTTAGCACCACACATCCTATTTCTGCCATGTGATATATATTTATAAAAATACACTGCATAACATTCGTAAATAAATGTGCATAATTAACACTCAAACATAACATATATAAAATGTTTATTTTAAGCAATTGATAAATTTTACACAAAAGTTCATGTTTACACCTTAATAGTTGCGGAAAGTATGGTTTAAATATTTAACTTTATTCAACATTTTATTATGTGATTTCTTATTTTGATAAGTGTAGAAAATTAGAAAGAGATTGTATGAACGCTTAATAAATTAGAATGTCTGATGTGATGTATGAATTGTTATATTTTATATATTTATATTTGTGTTTCAAATTTTATTAAAATAATGTGTTTTAACAAATAGCACCTTTTTAACAGGAATTTGTCTAATAAAACATCATGGTTATTTTATTAGACAATTGTTTTATGTATATAATGTGTTATGTATTTGATACCTCTATCGTTGGTAAGAAAAAAAGTGTGTTTAATATTAAATATCCTATACAAAATAAGCATGACTTAGGTTATAGCAAGTCAGTCTAATATTTTGCTCTTTGTAATTGGAATGCTGGAATATATAATTGCATTCTTATTACTTAACATATGTTAATTAATGTTTTTCTTGTCAGGTTGCAATGAGGTAAGCTATTTTAAATGTAGCTGTGTCTTGTTTTAATACTTTCATATTTATGTTAAATATTTATCTCTAAAATATTTTTTGTTAAATGTTTCCAAAGGTTATTGTTCACCACGTTGATAATAGAACAGTCTGATTGGTTATAAATATATTTTTTTATGTGTTCAAAATTCTTTTACTAAGCTTTTGCTAAGCGAAGCTGATTGAAATTTTGTGGAATTTGTTTCGTCACACCTCGAATGTTGTTCACTTTATTCTTTGAAACGTAAAATTCGATGTTATGAATTGTCTTGTCAAAAAATCCTCGTCGATGTCGTTTTGTAATTATTAATAGTGATTTATAAAATTTTTGTAAATCCTTGTCTTTGACAGATTTGTTTTACATGACCCAGCGCACTTAATTTTGTGTTAAGACTCTGTAGTAAGCCTATTTTGTACTCTGGTCGATACTAAATATTTATAACTATAAAATCTGAATAATAAATAATTATTAAGCATATGGATATTAGATTTGGGAGGGATGTTGTTTTGGAATTTATTAGTTGTAAAAAGTAAAAGGTTCGGTTTCTGAATTTGTTCAACCCCTACATTAACGTGTTGTTGTTATCGTGAAAAGACAATACTGTGATAATCATAATAAAAGAATGGTTACAAAAAATCTGTTTCCTTTCCACCCAACTACACCCGTGTATAAACCATCGCGAGAGTGATAAGTTTAAGATTTACACTTGTTCAATGAATCGCGTTTTAAAAACATAGTATTCAAATCCGAGCTTTTCAATAAAATGAAAGTCATTAATGTTAGGCGGTCGAATTTTGATAAACATTGGTTTTTCTGTGATACAAAATATTAGGTTATTGGTAAATGGTAGAAAGTTAAAGACGTGCACTCACGACGTATGTGTTTGATAAATATCCAATTTTGGCGCCTACGCATTTCCCTGAGTTTTGGAAACTAATTTTTACAGTGGGCGACAGATCAAGACATAGCAAACGCCGTCGCAGATATTGGCGTGAACGATTTCCAAGACGTCAAATTCTTCGAGAACAGGGCTAATGGACAGTCGAAGGGATTCTGCGTTATATCGCTCGGTTCAGACCAGTCTATACGATTGGTTATGGACCGTCTGCCAAAGAAAGAAATCCATGGACAACACCCAGTCGTAACTCTGCCAACAAAACAGGTAACTCGCGGTAAAACTACGTTTTAGTCTTCGTTATGTAGCTCTAATTGATTAGTGAAATTTATGACTTAAAAAGTATGAGGTTACCGTTTTCTAAAGTTTGGAGAAAATGAAGTGAAAATGTTTTGTTTTTTTCATTTTTCTCACAGATTACAGTATGAAATTTTGCTGAACTTAAGCTTTTGTTATCGGAGAAGGGAGAAGGTCTAAAAATGTAGTAGACATTTTAATAGTCAAAAAAGCAAATGTTTCTCTTATGCATTTATGTAGCATTTTCGTTTTGTAACGATATATAAATAGTATTAGAATGCAAATAGATCCGTTACTTTTCAGGCATTGAATCAATTTGAGAGTCAGTCGAAGACTAGATCGACGCCACCGGGTCCAAACAATCCAGGAATGAGAGGCCCACATCCGAGCGGACCACCTGGCCCGCATCCAGGAGGTAAAGGCTACAAATTAAAAAAATATATAGGCACATAAAATGAAAACAAATTCTTGATATGTTGGTTTTTTGCTAGTCTTCTTAAGTCCATATTTGCATTAGAAGTAGTGACTATTATGTCCATTTTTAGAATTCTTTGGTGGCGGACCAAACGGCCCGGGCCCTAACGGTCCTAGAATGATGATGTCGGGCCCTGGGGGACCTCACCATCAGTTGCGTGGGCCTCCGCCGGGTCCTCATGGGCCGCACGGGCCCCACCACTTGCCTCAACATCAGGGCCCGCCGCCGCATCATATGCAGCACCAGGGCCCACCACCTCATCAGGGCCCACCGCCGCATCGTCCTCCTATGCAAGTGAGTATCACAAGCAAGGATATTATGATATAATTTGCTCATTAAAATGTGCATGTATCACTTAAAAAACTCGTGCATATCATAATTATTGTAGTTTTCCAGTTGAGTAGTCATATTAAATTTTTTTCATTTACAATATTATTGCAGAAGATACTAATACAAACTACTTTTGCATTGAATTTCGCCATTTTCCTCGAAACTTATTCAAAACATCAGAGGGTGGACCTTATAACCCTTTGAAATACAAATAAAATTACTAATCTGCAATTGTATTTAGGCATTTATATTAGTTCGTCATTTTCAACATATAAGATATGTAATAATCATTTCATTTTATTCTTTTCATATAACAGCGACGAGACGAGAGGGATGTGCACCTCATGGTAAGTTATTAGATAGTGCATGACATTTGATGAGAATTGGGCCTCTGACTATCTTACAAAGTAAAGAGTCCCAATATCTCACCATAAGGATAAAAAAGCACATCTCTCTCGCTGTTCAAATAACTTTCTCACAATTTAATAAAAAGAGCAATTATGATGAAAAACAATGATTGTACAGTTCCAGGGCGGGCCTCAGATGCAGCGTGCCGGAGGGCCTCGCGCAGGGCCGGAGTGGCCGCGCGCGCCGCACCACATGCAGCCCGCGCCTGCGCCGCAGTACGGCCCGCCGCAGCATCAGATGCCACACCAGATGCCGCCACCGCACGGGGTCAGTATACTAAGAGATGCCAAGCGTTATGTCAGAAATCTGTTGTCTGTCCTACTTTAAGATAAAAAGTCCGGACAGGGATCGGGAAGAATTTCTTTCAATGACCTCTTTGACAATGAAACTGTGGACATGTGCATGTTAATGCACATGTCCAGAGTTTGCAATATACATACCTTGTAAGCTTTACAAGTTTAATGCCACCTACTAGCCATACGAATTGATTTTGAGACGTTGAAATTGTTATACCTTTTTCATTTATCCATTTTACATGAAATGTGTTATATTTAGCAGCCTCCGGGACAAGGACTGCCTCCGCCGCACCACCAGCTGCCGCCCCACCAGGCGGGACCACCGCGCGGACCTACGCCGTTGCCGCAGCATCCAGGTAAACAAATACTTCGATATCATATTATATTATATGTAATATGATATCATATTACCTGAAATCTATACGATTTTTATAGTACAAACTATAGTCAGTAGTGTTTACAAACGCTAACTGAGGCAAAATTCTGCACTATGTACCCTGTACCCTCGGTTTATTATTCCTGGTCAAGCTATAGTTAATAATGTCATGTGTTGGTAGATGGTTTTCCGGTAGGCGTGGGTCCAGGTGCGCCAGCGCCGCATGTCAACCCCGCCTTCTTCAGCCAGCAGCCACCCGGACAGCCCGCCCCGGGCGTGCAGCCGCCACCGCAGCCCACGGTGCCAGGTACACCTATCTTTAAATCCACTTTCACTACCATTCTTTCTTTATATTTTTATTCTTAAAGTATATGTATTAATGATTTTCCATGTAATAAAATTTTGTATCTAGGTCCAGGTGCACCTTATGGACATCCTCCTCACGGTGCGCCGCCGCCGAACCAAGGGCCACCATTGCCCGGCGCAAGAACACCATATGGAAGACCACCACAGGTTTGAACTGGTTATCAATAACTATATATTATATTGTCATGTAAGAGGGAACAAGTTCATGTCAGATCAGGTAACATGTATGTCATTGATGTGCGCACTTATTTGAAACGGTTATAAACTGTGCAGGGCTACGGCGGCGGTGGCGAGCCGCGCGGCGCGCACCACGTGGCCCCGATGGCGCACCCGCACGCGCATGCGCACCCGCAGCCAGTCATCAGCGAGGCGGAGTTCGAGGAGGTGATGGGCCGCAACCGCACCGTCTCCTCCAGCGCCATCGCACGCGCTGTCAGTGATGCCGCCGCTGGCGAGTACGCCTCCGCCATTGAGACGCTCGTCACTGCCATCTCGCTCATCAAACAGAGCAAGGTTCGCGAACAAACAGTACTCATATGTATATAAACATAACTAGCTGTCGCCCGCGACTCTGTCCGTGCAGAATAAATCAAAATCCGTTCAGCCATACTGGAGATACCTTCTAATATCAATCCATTCATCTAAACATTCGCATTAACAATATTTGTAAGATATACGACATATTCTGTGCGGACGAAGTCGCAGGCAAAATAGTTAATAATGGTGTTTGTAATAAAAACAACACTATGTAGTGGATCATTTCTTTAATGTAACAATTTTCAGGTAGCACACGACGACCGGTGCAAGATACTGATATCGTCGCTGCAGGACACGCTGCACGGTGTCGAGACGAAGTCTTACGGCGGTGAGCGACGGCGGTCACGGTCGCGGGAGCGTGACGCCCGAGCGCATCACCGCGCACCGCGTCGCCGCGACCGCTCCGCCAGCCGATACCGCGACCGCAGTCGTGACCGCGAGGACCGCGACAGGTGTGTAACTGACACTAACAACACAATATGCAATACGGAACTGCTCGAATCGTTGGTTTCAGAGACCAAAATTCTCATATTAAACATATCTATCCTCTTATTAACTTTGACAAAATAGAGATAACAATGGAAATTATATTGACAGGTCCGCTATTTTACGTAGACTTACGCGCGTTATATTATATAAAAATATCGCGATTGAAGCTTTTTAACCTCACTGTTGCAATTAAACTTTTGATCGGGAAAATTAGTTTACAGTTAAGTTTTATTTGGATTTTCGGTATTTAAGGTATAAACGGGAATAAAATGCCGCTTCAATTGCAGGTATAGGGAACGTTCAAGAGATCGCGACAGAGACTCGTAAGTGTCGTGCACTTGCCGAATATCTGCACTTTAACATTGCGGAAATATCGAATGTATCTCGAATTAACTACGGCAATACGACACCATTTTGCATGGCTGAGTTCTTGTTTTATTCTTCGACTACGTACTGCAATAATCACGATAATATTTATCTTCTAACTTTCTACTAAGCTTTGTTAATCTTAGAACTTTAGGACTGTATCACAAATAAAATCTAAGTGTGAACACTTTCATTTTTATATATTAATAAAAATTACAGATTATACATGCTACAAAGAAATCGCGTGATTTAAAATGTGAATAAATAAGTGTTTTTATGAGTAAGATAGTTCTGGTATTATATATACTAATGTAACTAACCACTTGATATTCATTGGCTTTGACTGGGCTTGTATTCATTTAATTAACATGTAATAAATAGTTAAATAACACGTATTTTTGAACTTGAAATAAACTTTAAACATATTGAGTTAGGAAGTCGCAATCTAATTTGCAGTGCCGTAAATTTCAACATATCGATAAATTCCAGCGAATTATAAGTTCTATAAAAATATTACCATTAAAATTATTTGATATACGAAGTCTGATATTTGATGTTTTACTGTATTAAGCAATGTAAATGTATTTGTTGCAGCAGGTACTACAGGGACTATCGCGAGCGTGAGCGCGAACGCTCCAGGTCTCGCGACAGGGAACGTGCCGACCACTATAATAGGGGACACAGCCGCGAGGAAAGGTATAAAATTACTATGTCAAGACGAAGCTAACATATCAAGGAACATCGTACTGATAGGACATGTCAGAAAGTTTAGTTTATTTTTTCCAATACTAATTAAATGACATTTCCCAGGGCACGTAAATCCCCAGTAGAACCTACAGCGGAGAGCGGAGCGGGCGACGCGACCGGAGCCAAGAGCCGGTCTGCGGGCGCGCCATACTACGATGAGCGTTACCGTGAGCGTAGGGAACGCGACCCCGCTCCAGCTGACCGCGACCGCGAACGCGAGCGCGACCACCGCCGTGACGCGCGACACTAACACGAACCGCGCACTGCCACTGCCACTGCTCCCACCATGGCCATTGTGACCACCACGGTCAATGTGACCACCACCGCCATTGTGACCACCACCGCCATTGTGACCACCACCGCCAT